TCGTGTTGAGGCATCATATTGGAACAGAATAGAGCAACCCTTTTGTTATTTATACTGGTAAGATATAAGCTACAGTTGTACATTTTTTAAAGTCTGATAAAAAAGTTTCAATTTTTCATGCCAACCCATTTTTGAATTGAAGTTAATTCAAGTTTCTAAAAAGCACCTAAAATCGCTATACGGGCATTTTCAAATTGCAATTGCATGTTTTCCGATTGAATTACGGCCTTGGAAGAGGTATCATATTTTTAAATTTTCAATGCTTTTTCATGTGTAACACAGAAGTTTTATAATTTTTCACATCTTTAAAAAAGGATTTTCAATTTCTAAAATGTCACATTAAAAAAACAAAAACACCCCCGAAGTTACATTATACGCATGCAGTGTGCAGAGTTTCAATTGGGGAAGTGATGGGTCCTCAGCTAAGGCTATCCAGAATTTAGTGTTACTAAATTTTTTAATCGTGTATATTCAAAATCTGAAAAAAAAATGACACCTCTCCAGAAGCCGTATCTCAATAAGGAGACGAGCAATTTCAAAATGAGAATGAATCGGAGTGATATACAAATTTTCAATTAGATCTGTGCCAAGTTTTATTGGAATCTGAGATGGTGAAGGTGATTTTTTCAGTGAAAAATGATGATTTGGTATGGAATGTTGGGTGTTTATTTCAAAAATATTCAACATCTGTCAACCTTATTACTGAATACGTCGAATGTAGGACAAAGTATGGATAGGAAAACAGTACCTACTACAACTCGTGGGTTGGTCTACCTATCGGGCGCATCCCCAGGTGGCGGGTAGGGGATTGCCTGGGGACTGGAGGCCCTGTCCGGGAAGCCAATCCTGACTCCTGGTCAGTGGCAGAAATAAGTAGGGCGAGGCAAATTAAAACCCCCCAAAAGCCTTTGCAAAACATGTCACCGTGGACCAGCCTGGGGCATAGCTGGGGATGAACAGAAATGTCGACCCCAATCTACCGCTTGGAATGAGGCTGGACATAGCAGGTCACCTCCAACAACAAGGGCACTTTCTGCGGCGGGCGCCAAGAGCTCCGCCTTGAATAAAGGCAAGGAACCTGCTGCCCCAGCAGGAAAGCTCCCTCACGTGTGCACCTCCACGGAGGAAACCCCAAGAAGGTTGAAGAAGCCACGCAACAACAGTTATATCGCTGTATCTTCCAAAACCTTCGCAGAGGCCATCGTGAGACACCTTAAGGTTGCCAAAGAGAGTGTGTTTTCGGCGAGTCTTGGTCACACCTGCCAATATAAACGAGATGTCTCCTAGTGATCTGTTCACCTTCCTGGAAATGACAGGATGGACGATGACCTAGGAGGACAACTCCTCGGGAGGATGTACAATGGGTCACATGTGGCCTAAGTGCTGTGAGTCTACACTCACCCTCCCTACTCTACAGGTACCAGAGAGAGTACCTACTACTAAACTCGAAATGAAAAGGGAAGATTTTTGGGACAAACGAAATGTGAGATAGTGAGATACACCATTTACAGATTTTTAGAGTATTTTTCAATTTCAATTTAAATTTTTCAATTCAATATATTAATTCATTTGATAACAATACATCTATTTTTGTTAATGCTATATGGAGGCATCTGCTGAAATTGCCTAGGCAAAGATGCATGGATTGTATTTCGGCATCCTTCCAGTTGCTTTCGAATTTGTTTTATATGTAAATTAGTTGCTAGTATAGAGTATATAGTCAATCAAAAAAGTTTGTTATAATAATGAGGAGTAACCATTCCTTTTCTTGCGACCTGATTATAGGTAGTAAAGAAAATTTCAAGGGTTTTAATCAACTTTTTACTCAACCTTGCGCGCCATTTGAGAATTTTGGAAGATTGTCACCCGCTACTGAAGATGAAAGTGGAAGGATTAGTGTGTGAATGACAAATACCCAGAAAAAATACCCTTCTTTGAAAAGGTGGCTTCGTTTGTGTTTGGCTACTCTGTATAATAATACCTAGTGGAAAGTACTAATAGGAAATTCGTGAAGCAATTCTCCTTCAATTACTAAGTTCAACCACCAAAAGAGCAACAACATACTCTCATCAAGGTCATTTTTTACAATCCTAATCATGATTCGACGTCTGCAAAATATACCGTTCATAATCACGTATGGAACATTCGAAACAATATCATGAGATGAGATGAGCCCATAAAAAATTGGGAATGTCCGAAAGTAGGGCCAGCTGTATTGCGGTATATCAACGATTCGCAACTAGTAGTAAGTAATTACATTTGGCACGTGAGCTACATTTTGGTGAACATTTTTTTCGTAACGGAATTTACACTTTTTATGCGATCTCGTTTCAGTACCTGTTCATCGACATGGAGGTAAAAATGGCACGCAAGAAGAGGTCGTGGCACACCTGTGTCTCATACGAGTTCAATGAAAATTAAATTCGCTTGTTTATCGCTTGCCTAAACAGCTTTGTCGAGAACGTAGCGAAGCTCTAGGATGTAAATATCTTTTATGGATAGAGCATCTTATCTGTTGTGCTGTTTTCTGTAATATATTGCATCTATTTATTTATTTATTCGGGATAAACGAAAACGCTGAGTTACAATGTAGTATATACATGTATAAAAATAGACTTCAATACAAAAACAGTTACAAAAATTCGTACGAATATTGAAATATATAAAATCAACTTAAAAATTGAATACTAAATAAAATAATTAAAACCAGCACTAAAAACTAACAAACATACAAAACATAAATCTATAGATAGACTAAATGCATAATTGACTGCAGACTTTTTGGATACCTCCAAGAAGTAGGTAAAAAGTCTGTTTTGCTGCATTAGCTTTTCTCAACATTCATGACATTGGACAATTGAATCCATGATTGGTAGAATGTGAAATCTCAACTAAAAAAGCTCTATCTTTCCTTGTTGCTCTTTGCTTGACTCTCAGACAAACCAATAAGAAAAGTTCTGGGAAATTAATTTGGCCTGAAAATAATTTGAATAGGAATATTAGGTCAGCCTGAATCCGCTTGTTTTCCAATGTGGTTAGATGTAGTGTAGAAAGCACATCAGTGTAGTTATGGACCTTTCCCAGTCACATTTTGTACACTAAGTAAGAGGGACATCACACAAAGGGGGTACATACTCTAAATGTGACCTAATTAATGAATAATACAGAAGTTTCATTGTGCTTGCCGATACGTCTTTAGCGGTCCTACCAACATATTCAAGAAGTTTGAGTGATTTCAAGGTTATTTTATTAATACAGGCGTTGAAATTGTATATCAACGACTTATTGGAAAAAAACAAGAATCCAATATATTGCTTTGCTGATGGCAGCACACTTGTCTCCATTTGGATTCCAGGACATCGGCTGCGAATGCATATCTTCACCGGCAGCAGGAGGTTGCCTATCTTATTGAGGATCTAGGCGTGATTTCGCATTGTGGTGAAACCAGTCAGGTTCAATTCAATGCCACAAAAACCCAGGCATCAGTTTTCTCCAAAAAGATGAATGTCTCCAAACAGGATATAATAATGTCAGGGTAAACAATTCCGCTTTCCGCTTCGATAAATTTGTTGGAGGTTAAACTACACACCAATTAAGTCTTGGCACGATCATGTCGTTGGAATTGCAAAGGCTGTTTCTCAAAAGCTTGGAACACTTTTTTGAAAAGGAAAACTGTAGGTACACACCTCATCAACTTTTGATGCTTTATAAAGCTCAGAACAGACCTTCTGTAGAGTATTGTTCTCATGTATGGAGCTCTGCCCCTAAGCATACCCTGAAGCTGCTGGATTTCATTCAGAAAAGATCCATTCGCTTGATTGGAGACGCTAACATCACTTGCAACCTTGATGGTCTGGAGCATCGAAGAAAGGTTGGGGATTTGTCTCTCTTCTATAGATACTTTCACGAGAACTGTACAAGTGACTTGGACATTTGATTCCACCAAGAGTGGTACATATCAGAAATACGCGACGGACTGTGGCTGCTCATCGTTTTGAGGTTCAATTCAGTACACTTCGAACTTCAGCGACAGCGTCATACGACAGCGTCAAACTGACAGCGTCATACCAATTTCGCATTTATGACAATGTATCTCTGTAGTTGTTAGTTAAATGATTTTTTGCTGCGAACTGGTTTATTTTGGGCAAAAAACCCAAGAGATATTTTTTGTTAAGAATGAAACAAGTTATCGGAAATAAATGTTTAAATGGTAAACAAATGATAAGACAAAAAGTTATATTGAAAATAAATTTTAGGGGTTTCGTTTTCCACCCCTTACAACCATGGGGTAAACCAAATAAATTTCTGGCTAAGTGTCTTTTTGGTTGTACAAAACGTCAGGTTAATTTCAATATTGTAACGTGACTCCTTGTCAACTTGTTCTGTATGTTACAACATTATTTGTCAGTATTTTAAGTTTAAATTCGTTAACTTCAAGTCTGACAAATGGTTAGATTAACGGAAATGCATAAAATAACAGTTTTACAAATGATTGGTTACGGAGATAAAACCCGAACACAACAGGAAGTAGCTCGCCTATTTCATGAGAAATTTCCAATAAGCTAAATAGAGAAATAGTTTCGCGAGCTTGGTCATGTGGGGCAGATAAAAAAAGCAGCTGCCAATGCAATGAGTGATGAAGTCAAATTAGATTATGCTTGAGTTAGCCATACATCGATAGTAAACATATTAAAAGAAAATAAAATGCATCCCTATAAAATGATACCTACTCAGGGGCTCATGGGAAACGATTTTGATAGAAGAACTTATTTTTTTGAGCAAATGATGGACATGTGGATAACAATATCATCCGATTAGAAGACGTTATGTATTCTGATGAGTGTATTTTGTCTCTTAATGGTCATGCTAATCGGCAAAATTGCCGCTACTGTTCAACGGAAAATCCTCACTGGATGAGAAAAGAACACACGCAAAACCCTCAAAAGGTTAATGTTTGGGCATGGATTTAAGGAAACCATATCATTGGTCCCTTTTTCATTGAGGGCAATTTGAATGGCGATAATTATTTGGCACTACTTCAAAATGAGGGCATTTCA